TAATGTACTATTTTAGCTTGTGAGTTTGTGTTTCTAAAAGGAGACTATTTTTTATGAGAACAGTATTCCATAAAATTACATCAAAAACATTATTGCACAGGCATCTGCCATCCAGTGCAGAGCATTTTAGTTGTTGTTTTCCTTTGCCCCCCACACAAAGGTCTGACAAAGGTAGCATAGTAGTTCTACCCTCAGAGATAACAGAATGGGGTTTGCTGTTACAGGCAGTATTTTTTACATGGAAAAGTCAATTGAATCAATCTCTCCTTATACCTTACAATGTACAATGTATTGTATATTATATTACACTGAAAATGTTTGAGCTAGTACAATGAAATCCACTTTTAGGTTCTGGATAGTTATTAATTTTACAGTATGTGTTAGTGTCTCAGATTCTAAGAAATTCAGAGAAAAAGGTTATGATCAGGTCAGCCTGGAACCATTCTAAACATAATTCTCAACATGTATAAGATGATGCAAGTTAAGATTTAGAAAAAAGTAGTTTTCTAAAAGGATTTCCATTTTGTACTCAATAGCCAAAATATTAGGAACCCCAGTCAAATATACAGTTAAAGTCCTTCACCTTTCATTTCCAGAACAATGCCAAGATCTCAGTCCTACTGGGAATTCCTGGAGCCGGTAAAACATGTTGTTCATTCCCCACATACCATTACTTTCTTCACAATCTCAACTATAGGCAATCCAGCTGGAATTGTGGAATGGGATGAACTGTGGCTGCAAATAATTCAAACCCCTGTGTAATAAATGCCCTGACCTTTCTAGTTGCTCCTGTAACAGAGGTCGTACACATTATTTAGTGAGGGTTAAAAGAATATTTTCACTAAAAGGCATTATTCTTTATTTCTCACTCTTTATATGTAAATGAAACATGGATTTGCTGCAATGATTGATTACAACTAAAATAGGTTTTAGATGTTTAAAATACAGAATTTTATGAGGGATGTTTAACATAATGAATTCCCAAAACAGCAAGAAAAGTATTCAGCATGGTTTACAGCATACAGCATAAATGTGGCTGAAACAAGATGTGAGTAAACCACAAACCCAAAAGACAGCAATCCCATAATCTAACTTTAGGATACGACTATTTGTTCTGAGTTAATTCTTGAAGGAGTTTTCACATGTTTGCTTCATTTCAAATGCACTGAAAGTAAGCATGTAAATTGTGAAGAGATAAGCTGTTTCTAATACAGTGTCTGCAGCTGGTTCTTTAAATGTGGTCACAGCTATGCAGAACACTCCTGCAGTGGGTGGGCTTTCACAGACAGTGATAGGAGGAGATGGTGGTGTCATGTTTGAGTAATGGTTTTCAACTGCTGAACCGGTCCACTGGTTTCTAATCCTCTCTGTTACAAAGAAGAGCCATAGTTTATTTTGGGGCACTGTTTCATTTACCTCCATGTGTGTCGCTGCATGTATTGGCTCAAGCAATATGTTATTAGATGCACTAAATGGAACAACTGCACTTTTATGATTTATAATTTATATACTCTGCCTTCGTAAACAGAATTTAATGGTATGTGCCAGATGTTTTTAACAAGTGTAATGTAATATTTTGTTTATCACAAAAAGCAGAACATTTACACTTACTGTGGTAGGGAGTGAAGAAAATCTGTGGTAATCAGCTAATGGAAAGATATTACATAAATAGAAAATCATCTTATCTAACCACTGCAAAAGAAAAATAATAAACTTCACAGTAGTTGACCACAGTCTGGTTATCTTTCTTTGCTTTTAATCATGGCAACAATAATATGCATACTGTACATTTACAATGTATACATGATATACAGTATGTATACTATATAACGTTGAGGAACAAGTAAAGGTTTATTCCATACTGAAAAGAGAGGAAAAGAAACACAATGTTTCAGCTATGGAGCCTTCTTCGGGTGTAACACTCTTTTCATCATTGAATAAACCTTTGCTTGTTCCTTTGCAACCTACGCACGCTGACGCAGCTCCCTACTTGAACTACTATATATTGTATATATGTGATACTTGAACCTGACTCTTTTTCCTTTTTTGGTTAATTTTCTATCTTAAGATATCAATCTTAGAAATAAACTCTAAAATAAAGCTTTGGTTTTATGAAGATCTGGTCTTCATTCTATTTCTAGTTTCATTCTTACCTGCTCTCTTATAGTGTATATGAATATACTATATAAAGTAATGTAATTACTCTCTTAAGAGCTGCACAGTGAGAAACATGGGATTTAGAATAAGAGACTGATACAAAGCATATATATGGTATTGGAATTGAAACTTACAAAGTTTACTTACTTACAAATACTTCCTTTTCCGTCCCCCTTTTCTTATTATTTTTATTATTGTTATATATATATACTGTACAGCAGCCCCACCAAAATATGTACTGTACATAGAAAGCCACTTTGTACAAGTCTGCTATATGACTAAAAAACAACATATTTGCAAAGATAAAAATCATTTAAAGATAATGTTAATCACTAGCCCAACACACCAGCTTAAAGTGTTTTTCCCAATAGCATACCAATAATAATAATGATGAAATGTTACTACCCTTGCGTCATGAGTTGATTATTAAAAAATACATGTATCCAAGGAAGAAGAACATATTTTCAAAGCAATGGCATTGTATCACAAATTATATAGAGGGATATCAGGTGAGAAGCATGAGATTAACACTTTGCATATAAACAGCAATAATAGCCCCTTAACACTTCAATTGTTATAGCCTTAGTGATTTGTCTAAAAGTTCAGATTTATTTCTGCGTTAACATTATACTTAACTGACAAAACAGTTTCCCAAAGTTACATTCCACAGCTAAGAAGATTCCACATCTTCTTGTGGGTAGACTTTAATCAAGCCAAATCATGTGGTTACAACAAATGGCGTTTAGGGGCATGTAGATTTAGTTTTCCTCTTGGATTGAGAAATTATACTACTAATTAAGGGACCGTATACTGTTTAGAAGTTATTAGTTAAAAAGCTTCTGGTTTTTGTAAAGAAGCTTCTTTATACAGTATAAGGTAATTTGTATAGGTCACCAACTGTGCATGTACTGCATTGATAAAGCCATCACGTGACACTTTCTGCATAAATGAATGGAAGCTCTGAGGCCAGAAATTCTGTTTCTACTATGCATGCAGGCCCAGCTCTTAGTTTTCACAGATCAATAGCAGCTTGCCTTTTGGCATCTAATATCAGCCAACCGAAAAAAGAGCACTGCGTGTTCATGTCAAAGGTTACACTCTGGCTGGTTTTCATTCAATGAGTTGCTGGTTTTCAGCTTCTTTTGATCGCTTTCCCCACCCAGCTTTTCCCAAGCCACACTGATTATACATTGATCCTGGGGCAGGGCTTTGATCAGTAGCCCTCACAGTCTGCAGGTGCTACATGTCATCGCATTAACAAACAGCATGGAGTGACAGCATTCATTCCTCCAGCATAACAAGGTCGTCTGCTTAAATAAGCATCTTATTTGTGAACTGCTTATGAAAGGCCACAACAAATTTGTCATGCTACTGATGTTAAAAAAGGAAGTACATAAATGTCTTATGGTGAACAGTTCAAACATGACCAAAAACATGTTTTAAAATATAAATGCTTGTAACAAGGTTATGCATTATAATTTATATTTGGATTTAAAATGTCACACTTTCTTTTTGTTTATTCAGACTGATTTAAGCAATAGTCACAACAACTGTTGAGATAAGATATTCCTATATTAACAAAAACAAAATCAAATGGATACTTCTACAGTGCTCAAATTAACCTTGAACTAGTTAAGAAAACATCGATTTCATATATCAAGGTAAAGGTTTTAATAGAATGAGTACTGGAATTCCAAAGATGCTGTAAAATCCAGATAAACATTTCACATAAAGTTATTATCAATAAGCATTACCATAAAAATAATATAGGACACCGTGTTTATTTAAAATCTGAACCAAGTGTAATATGCAAAAAATTATCTTTGGAAACAGGTGGATAAATATAACAGTACATACTGCAGTGGAGTGTTTTCCTGGAATTAAACAGAAATCAAGAAAATATTTTGTGCTGTCTCTGTTTTGAAAGTAAACCTTTGATTAAGTTCATACTGTACTTGAAAATGAAAACTTATTTCTGTGTTACCTTCAACAATCCATTATACGTGTATGGAGTTACTGAGACATGACCTGATAAATTAATAGAAATTCATTAAATTCATAAGAGATTGGTTGTGCTCACATATGCCTGGGGTGTAGAGGATGAAAGGGATCCATTAACTCTCTTTTAAAATCAAAGTTAAATTAAAGGCAGTAAATTAAATTGAGCCACATGGAGGGCATCAACAGAAGCGTTTTTATGCGAAGTAAATTAAAGCAGAATTAAAATGTGCATGAGTTATTACACTGTGACCAGTCAATGTGAAAAAGAGGTTTAATAGACTACTATTTAATTATATACAACAGTTAAAAGAATTACAAGGGAGAAATTACGGATGAAATATTAACTCAACATTTGTTGTTAGATCATAAATTCACCATAATCTCGATTTTTAATGCAAGATTAAAAAGTAAATGCAATCCAGAAACAAGCTGATTTGGATAAATAAACTGTTTAAAATAGGAAGGGTTCAAAGGATAAGCAAATTACACACCCTGAAGCTGTCTTCCATGCATGAAAGAAACCTTTCACATCTTTAGGAAAACTTGCTCCTAAAGGAGACGGGATTTGAGGGTTTTGTAAACACTTGAGGTACGCTTGAAAGGTAAATGTAATGTTCGTTTCCTATGCAGGATTATGCTGTACGTACTGAACAAAAGGTATTCTTTCACTTACAATACATTAACGTTCAAGAGAAACTGCTGCCTCTGGTGCTATTTTCAAGCGATAGGATGATTGTTTGAAGGTTTTTGAGAACTACTTAACTTTTTCAGAACCGAGATTAGATTTTGGTACTGTAAGTGTTTTTACACTCTCAAAGCAATAAAGATCAACAAAATCTTACCGTTTTGATCTTTCATACTGGTATGCTGAAACTTGTTGCTGAGGCTGGATTCAGCTTCCGATCCATGTTGTTGGATTGACGATATAAGGAGGAATAAGAATGACAGGATCATTTGGATTTGTTGTAAACAGAACGTATAATGTACTTCAGGTCTGTCGCTTCGCTGTTAATTTCAACATGCACAAATTTCGGATGGAAGAAAGCACCGATCCTGGTTTGGCAACATTGGTAGTAGATAATCGCAGGGTAGTATCCACATAATCCCAACCAAAAGGCTCTGCGTCTACATTAAAAAGTGATAAAAGTATCCCTGACTCGCGCTAGCACCCAGAGACCAAAGACAATACTCCTGGAATGATGGGTGTTCAAGTCAGGCGCGCATACGAAGCCGGGCGAGATGTTAGTGCAGAGCACCTGTCAACTTTATAAAAACTTGGCACGATTTAGAGAAACTTCAAGATCACTTTCCGACTGATACTGTACAAACTGTTTCACTGCTTTTACAACAGACGAGGTCTATCACTCCCATACAAATAAAGCTTGTAAACGGCACTTTTGATTTTAAAGAAGACTCACGTCTCCTTAGACAGTGATTGTTTGCTATCCGAATGTTTTTTTAGAGTTGTTATAGTCCGAGGCTCAAAAGTGCTTTCTCAAGTCGTGCATTCCAGGCACAGATGGATGTCGCGCCGTAGGTAAAGATTTAACTGTCAGTAGACTAGTGAAATTCCAAATGATCCCGTAAAGAAAAAGGATTCCCAGTGCTGTGTGAAGTCTGATCCCATATACAGCAGATGGAATTGAGTTGTAGTGCTGAGACTGCAGGGTCTGAATCTTGGGTGAACACAGACTGCCAACTGGCGACACAACAGGTGCTATACATAAAGTAAAACTTTCCCAACACAGGAAACTCCCCCAGGGAAGTACTTAACCTTTCATTTGCTGTCCTGAATTCTTTTTATTCTGCTTTACAGGGCTTGACACGGGCTTTTTGGATTTTTCGTATGTGTAAAGCTAATCAAAAAACCTATCGACTCCTAAAGCTGAGAAATTATTCTATCATTAACACTTTGAATAACGAAGAATACATTTTTTAGGGATTAATAGTTGAATAATTGGAAGGTCTGAATCAAAAGATCGAAATGGTTAAATGGTTAGTTAAAGTTAAATTCCACTTCAACCCATATTTACTTAAATATTTAATACTGGAAGTTTTTTTTTGTTGTTGAAAATTTGTGAACCCTGTGATTTCCCAAAATGAAACTTTTTCTTGCAGAGACAGGGATTATTTAACCTTACTTCCTCTATCTCCACATATCTTTGGAAAAGACCAAATTTGTGTAGCATATTTATGGAGAACAGGTAATAATTTACATTAGTCAGACAGACCTCAACCTATTATTTTTATTAGGATATATGTTTAAATGTTACTGTTACATTATGCCTGTCTGAGAAAATGTACCTCCTATGTATCATCCACTCCTAACATTCTGCTTTGCATACTTGGCACCCAAAGATACATCCCTAAAATGAGGCATAACTACTACTTAATGAGTGCATGCAGCTGGTCTTAATAGATTTCAGGATCCCACTTAAAGCTAACATCTGTCATTTATAAATGATCGATGCCAAACCCAGTGGATCCATTTAACCCACCTGTTTCATGAAATATTGAAGCCTAACTATTTATATATAGGATTATGTTGCATGTTCGACTTTATTCAAATGCAACTATTCCCTTATTAAAAGTAATATTTTCAAGACTTAATTCTTAAGAATATTTTTGACAAAATATATGAAGGAAATATTTGTTGTTTCCCAGTGATCATATACTAAACCATTATTTTAACAGTAGATTATACTCCGTTATGTGCCACTGACATTTTTTTTTCATGCATTGGCCCATGTTCATCATCATCATCATCATCCAGGCCTGCAACTACTGTTTTTTTCCATATGTTGCCACTTTATGGTAAATTACTATAACTATAACTTCTTTATCCAGTTCTAATGTTTTCCCTATTGGTGGATTATCCAAAGATGTGTAAAATAGGAGGGAAAACACAGAGCAAACACTGGGGTGATAGGATTATCTCTGAGCAGATTCTGATACCAATGGTCTAAAAATGTATTTCAATTTCAAAAAAAATAAAATAGATCAAATATCCATGAATTAAGATGATAATTCACAAGATATTAGAAAGCACAATATTTTGTGAATGATATTTATACTAACACCTCACATTGGAATAATTACAAGAAAATAACTAATAATTAAACTTAATAATAAGGAACACTAATAATTCAATGTTGTATAATACACATAGTTTAGCCTTAGAAATCAGCAATCATATGTCAACCTTTCTGTGTCTGTTCCAGGTTTGCACTTTTATGTATAAAAAAGTATCACATTCCTCCCCAGAGTCTGCTGCAAATGTCAGCACTTCAGCATCCAGCAATCTCTTCTCCCCTTTCAATGGTCTTGTCTCCATAACTCAGCATTTTCATTTTCTCTGCTGGTTTACAGATCCAGCTGGCTTCCAATATTAGAAAATGAAATTCCACAAATAAAAAAAGACAAATATATTGCTCCAAGGGACATTGTGGACTACCAAGACAGTTAGATCGATGGGGATTTTAAATTCTGGCATTCTCAGAAATGTGAGTTGTGGCTAAAAAGAAAACAATAGGGTGTATTGGGTACAAAGCATACATTTTGGCATGATTGTAAATTAATCTAAAGTGTATAATTGGGGCTATCCTTAAATGTATACAGAAGATGAAATATTTTATTGTATTATTAATTTTATATAAAATGAACACTAAAGCACATCCAAAAATAACTCTTATAAGAACAATAATGATTTAAATCATTATTAAATCAAAGAAAGAGAGGAGTGTCATCTACAGTTGCTCATTTGTATTTAATATCTAATTTATCTAGAGTTCTCATCCAATCTTTTCTTGAAAGAAGCCATGATATCAGCTTTAATGACGAGGCTGGGTAGCTGGATCTATAATCCCACAACATTTTGTGTAAAATGCACTTTCATATAATTTCCACTTGTTTCCAAATGAATATGTTTCACTGCTGATTCCAAAGAAGGTTAACTTTGTCAATGCCTTTGAGGATGTTGGTGAGTTACCCAGTAAAACTAGTAAATACCCCCTTCGTTTACCCAGCAAAATATTATTTATATGATTTATATCTTTTTGCTCTGTTGAACATATAATTTATGAGACTAAATGTGGCAATTAGGCACTGAATCCATCATTAAAGTTGCAGTGTAATTAAAATTATAGTATACATACTGTACAGTACCTCTTCTTCTAATGAAGAAAATGAAGTACATTAGAACTGTGACATTAATAATAATTGGTTTATATGTATTACTAGAAAAACGTTATTTTTGAAAAACAATGTATTTCTTCACTTTTTCATTAAAATTGTCAATGTAAAATGAGCGATACATGCTTAGCTACCACAATACTGTATATTTACAGAATTTCAAGAATAAATGCTTGACAACTTCTAAATTCTAAGTTTATTTCATAAGTGTAAAATAAAAACCATTCTTGAGTAAGAAAACAAGTTAAGAATAACGAAAAGTTTGAATGCTAATTCTACCAAAACTCACTCACTTTTGCCTGGAATGGTACTTACTCAGTGCTTAGCGCCTGGAGCCACCTGGTGGCTTCATTTTGTCGTAGCATTACTGTTTTCTCTGTGTACCGTATAACGTTAATTTCGTGAAACTTGCCTTGAATGCTTTTGTTCCGTTACAAAAGATCAGGAACTGCCAGCTATGGAGTAAATGTGTACAGCAGGTGTACTGTAATTTTTTAGATGTTCTCCAAGATTGTACAGTTTTTGCATAAATGTGAGCATTTTAGTAATGCAGAAAAAATACTCATACAAAATAAAATGTGAAAAAACTGAAATACAACTAAAATACAGTATGTATTGAAAAAAGAAAAAATGATTTCATGCTTTTATAAATATTTGCACCTCTTTCTCCTCCTTTTCATGTCTCTGATAATTTGATTTAAGCTTTTTTTCTGTATTTAGAATTGAAAAAGCTCAACCAAAACACGGTGATCTAGACTCCAGTGTAAATAGTAAACTAGTAAAATTCACACATTATACAAATCAGGAGGATTATCAAACACTGTAGAAGCAAAAAATGAAATAAAAAAATGATCAAATACAAGATTTGTCAAACACCTGGCAGATGACATTTAATGTAGAGAAGTATAGCAAGATATGGCAAAGGTAGTAAAAACAAGAACTATAAATGCAAAAATAGACACATTGAGGCTACTGTAAACCAGAACTTTTTTTCTTTTTAACCTCTCTCTCATAAAAATAAAAGAAAACATACAAACTTCCACAACATGACATTACATTTTTTTTGTGAACTAAACAGTTCTATACACATATAATACCAGTGTGGCTCTGTTACTGATTTTTTTAAATTTATTTTCATTTTTGTAAGTTAAAAAGGATACAAAGGCAGGCTTCTTGTGCAAAAACACAAAAGTCTTAGGTATTTATGTTGACACATCATTTACATAGCACTAAGAAGGCCTCATTTAGAATATTGTGTATAAATGTCATCACCACATTTTAGAAAAGGTATTACCACTCTGAAATCAGTCCAGTCAAGAGCAACAAGATACATTCCATGGATTAAAGGAATGTATCTCCTCACAGGCCAAAAGAACTGAACCTTTTTAGTGTTGAACAGAGAAGACTATTAGGGCAACTGTCACACTAGACGATCCTCAATGGGTAGAGTAGACCACCAGATCTGGTTTAAAGTGTTAGTCAAAGTTTCACAATGTAAAGTCAACAGTTAGGTTAAAAAAGTGGCTTTACCCATTTATTTGCAAGTGTTCGTGTGCCAACTGGGACCACAACAACCATAATAAACAAAGCAACCAAAGGATAACAAAAATATCAGTTGGAGAGAAGGTACAGTAACAACAAACATATTAGTAATTATAGACTGTACACATTGGCTAAATCACTATATCTAGACCTCTCCTCTTCCCTGAGTAATTATTACTAACTACCTAAACATTGTTCAGCATCCCTTTATATACCCTTGGGCAATAGCATTCTCAATGGAATAATTTGAATCATAAAACAGACAAACATCAAACATATATTAACAATCTACTGTAGATTGCTACACACTTAATAATAGACCAACAACACAGTATAATACAAAAATATATCAAATATATTAAATCCTTCATAATTCATACAATTTTTATGTGTCACAGGCATATAAGAGGCCTACTAAAAGCATGTGTCCTTTTCCTTCTTAGGGCCCTTAGGAGAAAGGCAGGAACTAGGCCTGAAATTAGTTGACTCATTAACCCACTAAAGCAACTTGCAAACCAATACAAAATAAAATGGGTATATTGTTGCCTTTCCTCTATACTGTACATGTCTTAAGGTATTCATCTAAATCCAGTACATTTACCCTGCCTGCCTCTCCAACTTGTGTGTGCACCCACAGCCTGAGGAAACAGGTAAGTGTATAGTAGGTGTTGGGAGCATCGGTGAATCACTAAGGGGATGAGTCATCTCATTTAGGTGAGCCATATTCTTCAATTTCTCATGAGCAAATCACTGAATTTGCTGCATCTGGAATCTCTTGCTTCCAATGAAAGCACTTCCTGGAGCAGAAATATCCTCAGAGTTAAAAAGAACAGTGAGCAGTTTAAAGGAAGATTCAGAGGGTAGAGAGATCTTCTGGTACAACTAATCATGGAAGGATTATAGCAGGGTAATATTGGTAGCAGCCTCGGTTGTCTTCTGGGTCGGGAGACCGGTAAATA